TGCAGTTTATTATTATATATATATATAATATTATAAATATATATATTTAATATTATATATATATATATTTCTCCTAAAGGCTTAAAATTCTTTTATTAAAAATATGGATAAAGAAGGGCTAGCATTAACTCTTCCCCTTAATTAAAAAACAAACAAACAAAAAAACTTAAATATATTTCCAGATGTTAGTGAAGCAAGTCTCACTCAGCTGCTGGAGCATTCCCTATTTTGCCAAATTAATAATGGAATAGCTTTAAAAATCAATTTCTGATAAAATAAAGTGATATCTCTCCAAATGAAGGACTTGCTGTGCACAGCTGCTCTTGTGTTAACCATTAATGGCAAACAAGTGTTGCTGCTATGATATTGAACTCTCCCAAGAAAGTCATTACTGAAGCAGGTACTAAGGGACTAGAAAGCCTAAAAAATCTATACAGAATGAATTTTAAAAGCTTTGAAAAACTAAGAACTTTTCTTTTTTTCAAATGGATCCATATTTTATAGCTGACAGCTCCTGTTAAGAAGTCAACATATACAAGAGCCTTTAGAGTTTAAAAAAAAGAAAAAGAAAACCACAAAATTTCCCCAGTAATGCAGCTTGTAAATAATCAATTATCACAATTAGTGTGTAAGGTGAATAGTTCTCTGATTTTTTAGGAGGAGAGGAGGAGACAATGGGCTGACACAATTTTGTTCTAACCATACTCATGATGTGGAAAATCTTACAATGTACTTGCTGAATGTTGTGGTTGTACATGTAGATCCACCTAGTTACAGGCTAATAAATTATGTCTGTGGAGATAGTGAACATTGAATCCAGTAGACCACTTCATGTTGAAATACTTACCATCTCTGTTTTTATAAAACACATAGAAATGTCCATAGTGTTCACTCTTAAGGGGGGAAAAAACGCTGTCTTGTTGCTCCTAAACATCTTCCCAAGCTTTATGGTTCCTTTTGGACAGTGATTATTCCAGATGAAACAAATATGTTTATGGAAGATGAAATTTGGTCCAGACACGAAGAGGCAGATAGTTGCCTGTGAACTAAAATAACAAAGTTTTTTGAGGGCCTAATTTTAAGTTGCAGATTGAAGTATGTATAATGGGTTTAGATCACTTTAGTTGTTTTGGGTTTTTTTGGTACCTTAGGACCAATAAAACAATGGATTTGATTACATAAGGCCTGTTCCAGTGTAAAACTCAAGGCCTTTGACATGATCCTGCCCCACATCCTTATCTCTAAATTGGAGAGAGATGGATTGAAAGCTGGAGTACTAGTTGGATAAAGAATTAATTTAATGGTCATATCCAGAGTGTTGTTGTCAAAGCTCTATGTCCAGTTGGAGGTCAGTCACAAGTAGTGTCCCCAAGGGGTCTGTCTGTCTTGGGACCAGTGCTCTTCAATGTCTTTATAAATTAGATAGACAGTGGGACTGCGTGTACATTCAGTAAGTTTGCTGATGACAGTAAGCTGAATGATGCAGTTGACACAATAGAAGGGGCAGGTGCCATCCAGAGGGACTTGTACACAAAAAAAATGCAAGGCACAAAGGAGTCTGAGGTTTACCAAGTGTTGCACTTGGTTCGAAGCAATCTCTGATATGAGTACAGACTGGGAGAAGAACTCATTTAGAGCATCCCTGCAGAGAAGGACTTAGAGGTCCTGATGGATGAAAAGCTTGACACAAGCCAGCAGTGTGCTCTTATGGCCCAGAAGGCCAACAGCATCCTGGGCTGCATCAAAAGAGAGATGGCAAGCAGGGAGAGGGAGGTGACTGTCTCCCTCTACTCTGCCCTTGTGAAGTACCTGAAGTACTGAGCACCACTCCCATGAAGAAAGGTTGAGGATTTGGGCTTATCTTGGAGAAGATAAGGCTCTGGGAAACCCCACATTCCAGTATTTAAAGGGAGCTTACAGCAAGAGTGGGCACAGCTTTTTACACAGTCTGGTAGTGATAAGACAAGGGGGAATGGCTTTAAACTAAAAGAGGGGAGATTTATGTTAGATGTTGGGAAGAAATTTTTTACTCAGAGCATGGTGAGGCACTGAAACAGGTTCCCCAGAGAAGCTGTGGGTGCCCCATTTCTGGGAGACATTCAAGGCCAAGTTGAGTTGGCTGGGATCCTCAGCAGTCTGATCTAGTGGTTGGCAACACTGTTCATTTAAGGGAGTAGAACTAGATAATCTTTAAGGTCCCATCCAACTTAAGTCATTTTATGATTCTATGAAAACTCACTGTTGGACTGTTTTGGACTGAAACACATCTAGAATGTGATAATTACCATTTATTACCTGCCTTACTATTAATTTTTAGCTTCTTTCCCCAGTGTGTTACAGAGATGTAAAGCTGTTAATAATTCATTTGTGCCTTTTTGCTTCGTGTACATATATACCTAACCAGTAGAGCAAGGCAAATGTAACTGAGGTTTCATTGAGCAGGACTCACTTGAGAGCCTCCCCTTTGATGCTCACCTTTGCCTCTTTATTTTCTCAGCACATACTAAAATCATCAAATTAGTTATAAATGGACAGATGCAGTCAAGATCTCCCTTGAGCAGTGCTTTCATTTAGGCTTCACCCCGGGACAACTTCTGTACTGCGTGAATTGCTTTTGTATGTAATAAGTAAAACTGAGGCTTTCCACTGCAACTATGGAAATAACAGAATAGCATGCCTAGCCAAAGCTTGAAATTACAGCATCCCTACAACTTCCATAATGCAATCAGCAGAAATGGGAGGGATATCAAATCTAATGAATAATTTATAAAATATCAAATTAACCGTATGCCAAGCAAGAAAATCTTTAAAAGACAACAAGAATAAAGCCTAATTTAGGCAACAGAGATCCATGTAGTGTTGACATAGTTCAGTACTATCCAACAATGAAAAACACTGAAGTGGATCTCTTCAAGTCAGAGCCAGATTGCAAGGCATCAAAATTTATGTTTTAAACAACAGGCTATATAAATAAAATTGCAAATCTCAAAATCACTGATTTTAGTTTCATTAAGAAAATGTTCAGTGATTTTTTTTTGCATATTTTGTGATTGCTTTCATGAGACTTTAGTCAGTAAGACCCCAGACAGTTTCCCTGAATAGTTTTGCAGGATGTTATATATATGGATGAAGCAAATGTATGGATTTCTTTTTCTAGTAGCCAACATTCTTTCTAATTATTTTATATAGTTATAATATCATAATTAGTTGTTTTCAGATAGAAAGTCTTTGTCATCTCCAAAAATTCATAAAGCATAAAATCTCTAAGGAAGAGAAAGGAAGGAAAGAAGGAAAAGAATCTCATACAGACTCTTAGGTGCTTTTGGAAATAAAAGAGCCCCACAAAATGGGAAGGAAGGAAGGCAGGAAAAAAAAAAAAACCAGCGGCAACAATCTATGGAGGTAAACTTATTTTACTAACTATGATATCGGAATGCAAGATAACACAATATAATACAATCTAATTGAAATTGAGACTAATAAATCAAATAAGATAGGAGAGAGAGTTCCTGAGACCGAGTCAAACCTGAAAAGCTTGGAACGGCTAGGAAAGCACCCTCCAGCACCCACTGCCAGGCAGTAAGAGACCGTCCCACCCAGAAGGGTCAGATCTCAAGACTTGTGTAATGTATAGGGATAGGTACGTAGAATTAGAGCATTAACACTTTAATTCCAGTACATAATGTTTTGATGTGGAATACTGAAAACCAAAAAAACATAAAACCAGGACAGTAAGTTACTAAAAAATGAAGTTTATTAGTCTCAAAAATTCTGTTCTCTCATATCTGGAACTTTCAAACCTTTCTCCCTTCAGATCACAAAGGACCTGCCATTCTAGCATGAGTTCATACCCAATACTACTGTAGCATGAGATTCTTCAGTGCTCCGAGTACACAGTTTCTCTGTGGCTGTTATGTTGATAAATATCTTGTGGATTATTCTCTGTTTAAATGTACTGGTAACTGATGCAACAACTCAAACTGTGGTCACTTTAGAAAGGATTCATTTAGTAAAATAAATTTTAAAAAGATATCTACTGCATCTAGTCTAAGCTGCCATTTTCTTTTCTGTTCATGGATAGAGATATCATAATTCTTCCCATTTGTCTTAGATGACTGCTTTGTTTCAGAAAACATCCTGAAATTGCCTATAGGTTTCTTTATTTCCTAGACAGAAGAATGATTAACAACAGAAAATAGCTCTCTCTGTGCAGTTGGCATACAGTGAGAGACCAAATTGCAGAACATTATCTCATTTCACGTAACTTTTCACATTTTTGTGTTCATTAAGCTGTCAAATGGTTCTAAAAGGCTCATTTTCTTTTTTCATAAGAGAAAGATAACTACCCTTGCAGAAAATCATGGTAGAGCTTAGATTGAATGCTTACAAAAAATTATTAATCTTAGCATTTTCCTTACAGAGACGCAGATGTTTCCATCTTTTTTTTTTTATTATTATTATTATTTTTATTTATTATTATTTCCAGAAAAGATGACTCTTTCTTGTCAGTTTTCTAAATTGCCTTTTTAGGTAGAACTCTCTTGAGTTAGTGGGTAATTTTAATTTTTTGGACACCTTATAGAGCTTTAGATGAGCACAATCTTATTATATACAACATTAATTGACCAATAAATGTTTTTAAAATAAAGTCCTTTCTTGACTAGAAATAGTTCTTTTCACATTCTAAAATGCTTCAGTTGATATTCTGGCCCCTTTTAACTCAGTGGTTAAGTGAAGTCAGTAGCTATAGCTCAACATAATTTGGCCTTTTAAAATGTTCTATATATTTTTGGCTACATTGTATTATATGTTTCAATTTATAGCAGTTTATAGTTCAAAAAGTTATTACAGAAATACAGATATTTCATCAATTCCAAATGTTGACACTTATATTTTTGTAGTACAAAGTCTGTGATGTTTATTCATTATATTTTTAAGTGTTTGAACTTAAAGCTTTAAATTAATTCTACATGATGATACGTGCTTTTTTTCCTATTTAGCTTCCCCGTGGGTAGATAATAGTCGAACTCCAAACAAAATAGATCTGTATGACGTTCGCAGACGACCATGGTAAGCTTTCTTTAAAGAAGTGATGTATATGCATCTCTAGCTTTCTGGATATGACATTGAAACATTTTGTTCTGACAATAGTCTTTATTTTTAGATACTTCTGAATTCTTTAAATAAACTCAGTTAAATATTCTGAAAAAAAAAAAAAAAAAAAGAATGTTCAGATTATATTACTTGTGACATCCAACATAGAATATCATACTGTTGCATTATGTGGACTTTTTCATAGGTGGATAACTGTCAAATAGGTCTCCATATAAAATGAGGAATTTGTGCAAAAATCAAATGTAATGTGAATTATCAGAATAAAGCAATTTTCCAGACTTCTTCAAGTACTTACAAAGAAGTCTCAGTGGTTTAGACTAGCTAAACAATCAACAGACCAGTAAAAGACAGAGAATAGTAGGATTGTTTCTCCTTATATTTTTATGTAAGATTTTTGAAGCATACTGATACTTGGATTAGTACCAGTTGAATGAAGTATTTTTCAATGAATGAAGTATTTTTCCCTAAGCTGTGCTGATGCAATAATTTGTTTGTCATCAAGACCTTGAGGTGTGAAATAGAATTCATGTTTTTTTCATTATCAACATGTGGAAGCATTGAATTTTGAACATTATATTCCTATTTCCAGGTTCTCCCATTATAGTTTGAATTTTGATTTATTTAGGAGACACAGCAAGAGAGAAAATCATGCCACATATTTTTCTAATAGTTACAATAAGAGGACATTTTTTCATTCAGTGGAATAATTTAGAGATCTCAGAGTGTCTTCCATCACACCCAAAAAATCTGTTTTCATTCATATCCTCTGTTTATTTCAGGTATATCCAAGGAGCTGCATCTCCCAAAGACATGCTTATTTTAGTTGACGCGTAAGTGTTTAATATCTGGATGTTGACGTTAGAGAGATAAAAGTATGCAGATCTATTGAACAAATCCCTGCACACTGAAAGAGAGGACGAGATAATTAAGAAGTCCTTGTATGCAAGGATCAAAAATCTGCTGTGGGCAAACAAACATAGGAAAATATATTTCCAAAAGACCAAAACAAACCTGAAAATTATTTGAACTATGTACAAGGAAGTGTTTTTAAATCACTTTGATATTATTCTACTTTCATCTTCTTAATAATTACTAAAGTAATCAGTTGAAAATTTCTCACATGCATGCCAAGATTTGATGTAAAACACAAAAGCAGAAGCAAATTACTGGAAGCATGAAAGTGGATTTAATCATTTTGTGAGCCTGAAGGGTGAGAATTATGCAGAGTTCACATTTTACCGTACTTATTTGAAGCTCAGTTCCTATAAATCATTAATTCCTGAGCAATTGAAATGATTTGCATAGATAGACTTAAATAAATCTGAAATAAAGCAAAAAGAAGGTTTTTTTGGTAAATGATACATTTTTTTTATTTCTTTTTTTTTGTTTGTTCTTATTGACAAGTTATTTAAGTTAGGTTGTTTTATAAGGACAAAAAAGAATAATGTATCACAAAATACAAAAAAAACCTTCAGCAAACTTTTGTGATTTCAAGTAAAAAAATTCATTCAGTGTTTGATATGTATACTGAGATATTTATTACATGCAGTGTAGAGAGTTAGCAAAAAAAAAAAAAAAAGATTAAAAAAAACAAACCTCCTCACTTCACCTTGATGAGGCTTCTTTCCTTTAGCTAACGTCAAGGGATTAAAGAAAACATTGAACTTGATGTATCAGACAGATCACCTTTTGCTGACCAAAAATGCTTAGTAAGAAAATTTGCATTTCATGATTTTAAATGTGGTGTTTACATATCTGGAGTGAGGTTTATCAGCATTTGTTATTTCTACACTTACATTTAAGTTATTTCTTGAATTTAACAACCTGCAATTCAAGTGTTGGAAAATCTGAATCTATAAATTTTTGGGTAGGAATATAAAATGTTTCTATAATGCATTGGTTGAGATTAAAAAAATCTCTCCAATAAAATGAAAAAAATAATGCATCATTAAGACCCAATCTGAGCCACAGGATTTTGGCTTTGAATACCTTCAATTTTTATTCTAATAATGTTGTAACACTAATGGTTTGTTGGATAATTCAGGAGAATTATTGAAAACTCCAGTGTAAAGGTTGCTGAGACTGCTGGTTGGTGCTTTATATTTTCTTTTAAAAAATAAAATGTTTAAAAGTCATCTTTTCTGTTATCCTATGGATTTCTGCTAGGAGCGGGAGTGTCAGTGGATTGACGCTGAAGCTGATCCGCACGTCAGTCATTGAGATGTTAGAGACCTTGTCTGATGATGACTTTGTGAATGTAGTTTCAGTGAGTATCTGTTCTTTCAACAAAACCTGAATTGTCAACAAAGCCATGAAGAAACTATTTTCAATGCTGGATTTGAGATGCTTGAGTATTAAGCTGCTAGGAAGCTTAAAAAATATTGCAAAATACCACAATTGACTATTTTCTTGAAATAAGAGGATTCATAGTAGCCATAGATTCATGGGAATACATTTCTATAAAGGTCAGTTACTTACAGTAAACAAGTAAGCAGTTAAAACAAAATTCATTTAAATAAACCTCTGCATAGCCAAAGTCTCCCTTCCAATACAGAGGTCTATTTAATGTATCTTCTGTTTGTCTGGTACAAATCCTTTTGGAATAGTTTCCTGGGGGTCCCCTCATTTCATTTTTTTTTTGTACAGCAGTCTGTTTTTTAAGACAGAGTGATACAGAGGAGGTAAGGGAGAATTCTTTCTTTCAGACTTCAGCCAATTGAGTTACTTGTGTTAATTGATGCATACAATAGAAGATGTACAGTTGTACATCTAACTGGTCCAACGGGATAGTCCTGAGAAGTTCTAAAATTCATATTTTGGTGGTACCAAAGCAATTTTTCCCATTCTAATAAGCAGTATCATAGGGGAGGGAATGCATGCAGGGACTTAAAAATACACAAAATTTATGTGCACAGGGATACTGTATGTACTGTACTGTGCAGACCCAAGTACTCATGCAAAGATTTTAGGGTTGTTATTAATATCAAATGAAGGAGCTGCTGGCTTTTTTGAGGTTGGATTTTCAGCAGCTGAAATATTTCAGAACATGGTCTCAAACTTCAGTATGGTGTGTGATTATTACAAACTTGACTACTAGTCTTAAAACTTAAGTTCCTGTAGGATAGAGTTTTTAAATAGTTCCTTATAATAGCTTTTTATTTTCTTTTTATTTATTTATTTGAAGTGACATTTCAGTCATTCTAATATTTCTATGGAATTTAAAGTGCAAATCACTAGTTTTCAAGAAGGCTGAAGGCAAAATAAAGCAGATTTGGGGAGGGGGAAGTTGGTATGAGCTACTTGCATTTTTCAGACTCATACCTTGGATGTCATAGTCTAGCCTCAGGGAAGTCTTTTTTTGTTCTTTAATAAGTTGTTGAACTGTAGAGCTTTGATTCTAAGGATTCAGGATAGGAATGCTGGCATACTCTTAATGACAAGAGACAGTCTGCATGGTGAGTAACTCTGGAATGATTTTGGAGGCAATTTTCAACTTCTACAGATGTGTTGTAGCCAGCCTGCAGGGAGAAAGACCTGAAATATCACTATCAGAAATCTCTTTGAACACCACTTATTACTTCATCTTTTGCTGTCAGTCTAACTAGACCTTTCCCAAGTAGTAGAGAGAAGCTCTTATTTGCAATGACATTTCCTTTTTCCAAAATTTTAATAGTGGATAAGATTTTTTTTTTTTTAATTTAAATTGCAGTGATAGAAATGAAACTCCTCTATTTTTCTTAAAAGAATATCAGCTTTGTGTAATGATATTAGATAGCTTAGCTCTTGTTCTTGTGCTCATGATTTTTTAAAAAAGTCAACACTCTAATCCTAAACTGATGGAAACTGTTTACTAACAATAATGAAGCTATTCCAGCCTTTGCTATTGGACAATATTGACCTGCAATTCCTTCTGATTCACAGTTTTCACAGAATCACACAGAATGGCCTGGGTTGGAAGGGACCTCAAGGATCATGAATCTCCAACCCCTCTGCCACAGGCAGGGCCTCTAACCTCCAGTTCTGGTAGTAGACCAGGCTGCCCAGAGCCCCATCCATCCTGGCCTTTAACTCCACCAGAGAAGAGTTTCCAAACTCTTTCCTTTATTTAATCCCAGCTAACCAGAAATTTTATATCTTAATGTTGAGGCAGAAAGTCTTAGATTTAGAGTATTTTATTAGTTAGCATTCAGTGCTTTTACAGTGGATGAGATTTGTTTAAAAAAAAAAAGACTGGAAATCTGTGAAAATATTCTGCATTACATTTTATCAGTGGTTGGTAGCAAGGTCACTTGCTTCTTTGAATGAGCATATTCCTTTAGAGGACTCTGTTGGATATTCGACTGCAGAATTCAAGAGGACTTTTCCATTCACCTACATTCATCATCTTAGGAATACAATGCTCACAGAAACATGGATACTAGAATATACCATCTCTAAATATTTTATAAAGTGCTATTTGTTATTGCACATTTATAATTTAAAATTCCATATTAAATCCTATCAGTATGCAATTGTTTTTGTATAACATGTTTTCATGTGTTTTGATGACTTACACAGTGAAATTGTTAAATTTTATTCTGTTGTTTTCTTTCTGTAATAGAAAGCAAACCACATGCTGCAGTCAGAAAACAAATTGTTGTACTGTTTCAAGGAATAAACAACAATGCTTGTGGATTTTTAGGATTTTTCCCTTTACGTAGGTTGTTCAGTTTTTCCACAATCTAAGCAAAGCCTCAAATCGAAGTTAAGCATCAGAGAGGACATTGCTTAAAGAAGGTGGTGAATTACCATGCTCAGCAGTATTTGCTCTTAGGATTATTTACAGAAACATATGCAAAAGCTTAATGTTATATAGCATTCATCCATATAACACACTTCATTGGCTAAGTACAAAGTCCAAAAAAAAAACCAAGATGCTAATTTTCAGTTTACATAATATTAATGAATTGATATATGAACACTGGAAATTACCTACAGTATTTTCTTTCCCTCCTGGATCTTTTGGCCAAGAAATCAACAGTTGCTTTATGTCTTGTTAGATTTAATAACTGTAGAGTGCTTAGTAATGAGGTTTTGAGTTAGCTAAAGAGCTGTTTTACTGCTAACCTCTGCCAAGATGTTGTCCCACAAAACCCATATGTATGGTGATTCATACCCACAACTGAGGCATGGATTTAAGCTCATGCCAATCACTTCTAGAAACTGACAGTACGATTTAATCAACCCTGCCTGGTGTATATAGAAGTCTTGGGAAGAAAAAGCTTAAAAGTAGAAATGCTAAAATTTGTTAGTTCTACTGAGTTAATATAGTTCTTGCACTTACCTGGGGAAAAGAGCTGAATGAACTGTTAAGTCACATAAAGAATTCCTGGGGTTAATATGTCATGATTTCCTCTGGGATTTGCATTTTTCTTATCTGAATAGCTGTGCTTTGTTGCAGAAAGAAAACCTGCTGTTAGAAAGAGCTTAAATGTATGAGTAATACAGCTGTTTTCCCACTAATCCGGTTACATGCTTTGATAGCAATAAGTGGTAGATGATAGGGGCAGCCATTCCATCCCAGCATGCTATGATTTAGTGACTTAGTTTCAAATATTGACACAGAGAGTGTAATTTGTTGATGATGGTGAGTAGGCTGTGATTTGCTGAGGGAATATATTACAACTTTCAATCTGTAGAGGCGGGAAAAACTACACATAGGAAAACACAACTTACAGGAACAGACATGCTAACAGTTAGAAACTGTGTGACTGTTTAAAATCACTTAGCCTTCATAAAAATGGAAAAAAACAAACAAACAAAAAAAAAAACAACAAAGTATTGTTTGGGAAATGAATATTAAATATTTTAAGCATGCTTGGAATAATATGTACATTGCTCTGAAAGTAATACCTTCTCTCTATTTCCATGGAAACTACAGAGATACAGAATCAGAATCACAGAATTGTAGGGGTTGGAAGGGTTCTTTAGAGATCATCGAGTCCAGCTCCCCTGCAAAGCAGGCCCCCAACAGCAGGCTGCACAGGTAGGTGTGCAGGCGGATCTTGAATATCTCCAGAGAAGGAGATTCCACAGCCTCCCTGAGAGCCTGTTCCAGTGCTCCATCACCCTTACTGTGAAGAAGTTCATTCATATATTGATGCAGAACTTCCTGTGCTCCAGTTTATGCCATTTCCCCTTGTCCTGTCCCCGCCAACTGCTGAAAAATGTTGACATGTCCCTTTGACTCCCACACTTAAGAAATTTGTTAACATTAATAAGCTCACCTCTTAGTCTTATTTTCTCAAGGCTGAGCAGACCCAGTTTTCGTAGCCTTCCCTCATAGGGGAGATGCTCCAGGCCTTTATCATCTTTGTAGCCCTCCGCTGGACTCTTTCCTGGAGGTCTCTGTCTTTTTTGCTCTGGGGAGCCCAGAAGTGGATGCAGTTTTCTAGGTGAGGCCTGACCAGGGAAGAGTAGAGGGGGAGAATCACCTCCTTTGGCCTGCTGGCTGCACTCTTTTAAATGCACCCCAGGATCCCACTGGTCTTCTTGGTCTCCAGGGCACACTGCTGACTCATTGCCAACCAGGACCCCCAAGTCCTTCTCCGCAGTGCTCCTCTTCAGCAGATCATGTCCCCACCTGCACTGATACATGTAGCTATTCTTTCCCAAAGAAAGAACATACAAAGAGCACAGTAACACTATTTGATAGAGCAAATTCCCAGCTACAGAAACTTATTTTTAATACTTTCACCATCATTAGCCGATTCACACAGGTAAGCTGATCAAGACACTCTTCTTTTTGTGGTATGAGAGCTGTGCATGGCCATTCAGAACATGGCTTTTCTTTCACATCACTGTCACCGCTGCTAAAATGCACTACCCACTACCTCACTGTGCTCACATCCACTGGTTGGTCTCCGTAAACATTTAGCAAGTGTTGATGAACGTCAGTAACTCCATTATAAAAGCAACTGAAAAGTGGTTTGAATTTTTGAGGGATTATTTTGGAGTTCATAAATAAACAGGCTGAGAACTAATTTGATAACAACTAAGAAATGCTGTCACAAAACTCTTCCATCCATAGACTTTCATAACTGTTTCATGTAAGCAGTGCAAGAATCACTAGTTGAAGCCCAATAAATTTAAGCAGCATGTAAATTGTTAATATGCCTCAACAATTTGCAAGGGAAAAGTGTATGTTCTCTACATATCAATATTTAATGCTTTTCTGGAAAATGCACTTTAAGCAAACATTTATCATTAAGTGATTTGTTTTTATTT